TTGAAGACAGATCGAGTGCTACATCTCAAAGGCATCATACAAATACACTTACCCACAAGCCATCCGCTTTAAAACTGATGCATTGTGGATTTGAAAAACAATATTGTGCCGAGCTAATAATCATACATATCTAATAAATTGAAACATATATGAGTGAGTCACATATATGAGCTTCAAACAAATGAGGCATAAAACATATCTACACAAAGACAAAAAAGCAATATAGACAATAAAAAAACAAAAGCAAACAATGGTGTTTGTGCAAAAAAATTCCTCAGATGATTCGCAGCCAATCTGCATGTAACTCTCAGGTAAGGATAATCACATAATGCAGGCAGACCTTCACCTCCACCCAGTGAGTGATGACAACAAGTGAGTGCTCACCTGGGGAGGTAGACGAACAGAGCTAGGTCAAATGTGCTTTTTCCCTTCTTAACGGGGGAGCCCATGCACAGAAAAGGCGATAAGGTCTCCTCAGATCACAGGTACCAGTATAACTCCAGGTGGAAAGAGAAAAAGGACAAGGACATAGTGCATAACGTCCAATAAAATGCAATTTATTAAATAAAAAATGCGTACTCACAATGATATAAACAGTACAGGCATTGGGTATTGCTGGATCAGACCAGCAGGGCAAATGGCAGCAAAGCGATAAAAAAAACCTGTTCGTCCGGCTCAGCTCAGTGCAGTGACATCAGAAGCTCTGCCCTACGTACGTTACGTCAAAACACGTGACTTCATCAGGGAGTCTGGAGCTACTGATGTCTTGAAGTTTATTTAACCACCTTACGTCCATGGCCGTTTGTGAACGGCCAGATGGACGTCTGCTCAGAGCGGGAGGGCGTCTTAAGACGTCCTGCCCCTCCCCCCTCTCGTGTGCGCGCTGAGCGCCGCACACGAGAGGGAAAACCGTCAGCATGTAAACAGCCAGCGATGGCTGTTTACATACAAGCGGTCAGGCGTCTCTAGAGACGCCCGATCGCTTGCAGGATCTGCGGGTGTGCGCCGCCCCCCCACTGTCCCCAAAAAATGGTATGAAAATCGTTTCAGTAAAGCGTTGCATGACAGAATAAACATCAGTCAAAGTACCGCAGCGCTGAATACTGAAAAATGGCCTGGCCAGGAAGGGGGTGAAACACTATGGCCTTTAAGTGGTTAACAGAAAAGCATGCTACCGTAAAGGCAGTAAACCAGGTGCACTTCCTTTACCATATAAATGGAAATAGCACCATCAGCAGAGACAACACAGGCCAGAGCACAATGATTTTATAATTTATGAGGTCTTCTGTCACTCACCGTTAGGTTAGTAGAGATGCGTGGTCAACGACGGAGGTGTGGTGTATGGCTGCTGGCGGTGCTTTCCTGCATAGATCTCTATGGAGAACCCAGAGGATGTCCTGCAGATGGAGGCGTAGGAGGAAGGGATGTATAAGTCCCCACCAACGGGCACCATATGGGAGGCAGCGTGTTGGGCGGTGCTTCGGGAGCTTTCGGCGTCTTAGTTGCCGAGAGACGGAGGGGGTGGGGAGAACAATGCGCTGCCTCTTAGTGCAGGCGCTCGGCTGTCCGGAACCCTGAGTGTCTGTGTGGGCTAAGCGTCCTGGAGTGTCGCCAGGCTGACAGCGCACGAGCTGTTACGCGACACCCACACTGTATTTCCCGGGCTCCGCTGCCACTCCTACAGGCCCGGGACCGGCTTCTCTTGTGCCGGGGGGGAGCCGGGGAGGAGATTGGCGAACCTCAGTTCACTGATCACTACCCCATTCTATGGGACCGGGTAGCAATGCAGACTACATCACTTCCGGTCCCTGGGCTGTCAGTGCTGGGCCCCTGAAGCCCAGCAAGAAGCTATTGAAGAGCGATCTGCACTTTAATAGCTTATATAAAGTAGAGATGTGATACTTGGGCTCTTTTGGACCCCCAGCATCACCTTAAAGAGTACCCGTCACCACCAATCTGCTATCAAATGGGGGGCGTGTAAGCCCCCCTATGTAATAGCAATTCATGTTAAAAAAAAAAGAAATAACAGTTTTTAAAATTAATATTAAATTAAAAAAATAGAATTTTAAAGAATTATGAGGCGAGTGATTTTCACTCAGCCTCATAATCTGAGCCGACCTATGACAATGACACTGTCACAGGAAGTGAGCGAACACATACCGGCGCTCGCTCACTTCTCTATCTATCCGTGCAGAGAGCCGTGACTGTCACTCACGGCTCCCTGCAGGGATTCCCCCTCCCCGTCCGATCCTCCAGCGCTGACTGGCAGAACGGACGGGATAGGGGGCGGGTACAGCTGGCTCTGCCTCTAGATAGGCAGAGCCAACTGTCACTCACGCAGCTGGGTGGATCCAGACAGAATTGTCGGGATCCATACCGCGAGCGGCGTCTCAGTATATCACGAACTGTCACTGGCGGTATACTGAGCTTTGGGTGATGGGAGGACACTAGTTTGTGTCCTTCCGTTACCCTTAGGAGAACTATGGGGGAAAGCCCTAGCCCTATAGTTCTCATTTAAGTTCCCCCTACGCGTGCGCGTCTTCACGTAAACAGGCATCGGGTGTGCCTATGTATGAAAACGATAATCGCTCTACACATGTTAGGTATCGCCGCGCACGCTGGAGTGAAAGCAATAATTGTAGGGCCAATATTTATGCGTATCTCTAAACTGATGACTGTCGGGGATTTTAAAGTGTTGTTTATGGACTTTATGAGGTACTGAATTTTGTCGCAGTTTCACGGCCCATACAATTTTTAACCTGGGCATGTTGGGTATCTATTTACTCGTTGTAACCTCATCTTTTATATTTTATTTTTAATTTTATTGTGTTTTGGGTCATTTAAGTACATTTTTCACAAAATTTTGTGGTTTGATAAGGAGTTGCGCTAATATCATGCAACATAAAAATTTGCAACTGCCAACATTTTGTTCTATAGGGTCTTGGCTTTCAGAAAATATACAATGTTTGGGGGGTTTAAGTAATTTTCAGGCCTAAAATGTGGATTATAACATGTAAACAAAAACATGAAAAAAAAACCCACCTCGGTCATGAAGGGGTTATAATTCCCCAGCTCAAACCCAAGAAATTGACTTTACATTCAAATTCTAGCAATTGCATTTATTCTTCTGTCCAATAGCAGCTTTCCTCAGTACAGTTGTATTTGGAGCGCAACATAGATCTCTATTTATGAGGAATAGATCTCTGCTGGACAATGCATTTGCCAGAAACAAATATGGCTTCCTCAGTTCTGTGTTTTCACAGTCGCGTGCTTCCTGGTCAGGTGATATGCAGGGGGCGTGGCTTCGTGGTGACAGCTTAATCGGGGAAGTGAAGAGTTCTGCTTGAGCTTCGGTGGTTTGGTACTGATAACAGGACCAGGTCTTGATATAGAAACGTAAGGCAACAGTTTGTTTATCCTGATACTGTCACTTAGACTTATTTATCTGCAAATTTCAAGCATGCATGCAAATGTGATATGGGCAAGAGGCAGAATAGAATGTGGATTTGTGGACCCTTTTCCACCTTTACAACATCCTGTTCCAATAGAAATATGGAGTCTACCATGGCTGACCCCTTGCTAAGAAATGCTAGTTGCTTGGCTGTTTTAGCTTCCATACCCAGTCACTAACCCAGGACAAGTTTGCAGATTAGACAAAGTAAAGTCACAGCACAGGGGTGCATTAAAGTACACCTGTCATGAGAGAAATGTGGGGCATGCCAGTGCGAACCTCCTCCTGAAATAATAGTTTCCTAGCTGGTTGGAGGACTCACTAGCTTTAAAGAAGAAATCCAGGCAGAAAGAAAATGAACTCTTGCAGTGGTCTACCCCAGCACTGCAAGGGTTAAGTGTTTGTTTTGGTCTAGGAAGCTAAAATAACAGATATACTCATCTGATCCTCGGTCCCTCCTGGCTGCTAGACCGTTCCCCACAGCTTCTGTTCCCTTCTGCTCCGGCAGTTTAAGGTCCAGTGAGTCATCATGTCTAATACAGTGTATTGGATGTGAGGACGACGAGGAACATTCTACCACTGGAGCGGAGGAAGAGCGAGACTGCGGGGACCACTCTAAGGCCTCATTCACACGAGAAATGTCCGGCACGTACAGCTCCGTGCTGTGTGCACGGCCGCATCAGGCAGCTCCCGGGAAGGACAGGTGCTGCGTGTGATTTGTACGCAGCCCCTGTCCTTCTATATGGGACTATGCGGCCGTACGCGGCCCTGCGCTCACCCTCCCTGCACGTCCTTGCTGGTGTCCGTACTCGAACGCTGACAGGATGGATGCTGTCTGCGTCCGAGCCGGGACACCGGCACCCGTACGGACCTGCACTTGGGCGGCGTACGGCTGCGTAGTCCCATAGAGAAGGACAGGGGCTGCGTACTAATCACACGCTGCCCGATACGGCCGTGCACGGAGCTGTACGTGCCAACCTTTTCTCATGTGAATGAGGCCTTACAGTCAAACGGGACCGAGGATCGGCCAAGTATATCTTTATATTAACTCCCTAGACAAAGTGAGTGCTTAACCCTTGCAGTGCAGTGGTAGCCCCACTGCAAGGGTTAATTTTGTTCCTGCTTGGAGTTCTTTAAAGAGACACTGTCACTTTGCTCATACAGGACAGAGTGATAGTGTTTGTGTGGCTTTCACATACCGTGTGCACTGCATTGTAAAAAAAATGGTGCATGCCAATTTTTGGGGTTCATTTTGGTGCTTTCCCAACCCACTTAAAAAATGGACTGCCGCACTACAACACAGTTTAAGGCACGGCATAATGCACCACACTGCACCAAGACAGACGAGTGTGAATGGGCCCTTATGAGTGAAACACATTTCTCACCATAATGTTCACCTGTAGAAAAATCTAATTTCACATTTTGCCTTCATTAAGAATACAATGGTTATATAATGTAGGCTTGACGGACTAAATATTCTAATTGCACACAAGCTGCATTTTTCCGAGAGTATATTATGTTTTTTTTTTTTATGCTTTTATTCCTGAAGGATGATTTCTCTAGTAATTATTACCCTGCTCCTTGGTGCCAGTGTGATCTTCCTTCTTTTCACCCTGTGGAAGAGCGGCAGAGTGAGACAATGGACTGCTGGGTTGGGACGCAGGCGGTTTCTCAACAGCCTATCCAGGAAGAAGCACGAGAAGATGTTAAATGGTGACACGAGTAATGCCCAGAGTGTACAGGAATCATTACTTCTGAACATATTGGAAACGCACCAAAATACTGAATATGGTCAGAGACACAATTTCAAAGACATAACAGGTACAGTAAAAAAAATAATTTTAGATAGAGTATCCCATTGGGGAGATTTCCCTTTACTTCCTGTCCAATAGCCACAACAGGAAGATGGAGAAAATCCCTCCAAAATGAGAGAAATCCCTAGTGGTTAGCAGGATCACCAGAACTAGTGTCCCCTTGGAAATTGTTTTTTTTCTGATGACAAAAATTTGGGATTGTCTTTGACTTTCATGGATGATGGTCACCAGCAGGGCTGTAGCTACCATGGGGCGAGTGAGGCACTTGCCTCAAGCACAGCTGAGAGGGGGCCCTGGCTGCGCCCCCTCGCCCCTGTTGCCATGGCGAGCACAGGCTCCAACACAGCCGTGGCTCGGCAGGGAGAAGAGGCCAGAGGCAGCGGGGACCTGATGAGAAATGGAGCGCTGCAGCCAGAGGGGTGGCGGAGGTGGGAGCTGTCACTCAGGACGGCCTTGCGGTGAGGAGAGAGAGAGAGACGTTCGGCCTGGATCTGACAGCGGGCGGATCTTTCTCTCCTCACTGCTTGACCATCCTGAAGTGACAGCGCTAAAAAATAAATAAAGCCCCCCCACACACACTCATGCACACATATTATTAGACATGTGCAAAGACAAAATGAACAGAAACTTAAAAAGTTTTCATTAGTTTCGTCAAACGAAACACATTTTTATGCTATTTTGTATTTGGCCACCAGCGTATTGCGAGCATGCGCACCACCATCCTGGAGGCGGGCGCATGACGTCACATGATGCCGTGCATTGCAGCGTCGGGTGACATCGCACATCTGTTGGGGGGCACATTTTTCTGTTATTGCCTCGGGCGCAAAGGGAGCTAGCTAAGGCTCTAGTCATCAGGACAAATAGTGGGGGTGAACCTACCTTATGGGGACACAGACAGCAATACAGACCTGACAAATGTTCTTCTCCCTCTCCACTCAATCCAAAACTTTAAAAAAAGGGTCACTAACAGTCCACTACTATAGTGGAGGTGGTAGTGGACTTCCTCATTAGGGAAGGAATTTGTTGCAACTCGTTAGTGAGAGAATCACCAGTGTGACCAGTAAGAGTCTAACGCATTGATTGTTTTCTACCCCACAGATGTGTCCTCATTTCAGAAACGCCATCCCCTTACTCACTACAGTGACTATAAGGACTACATCCAGCGCACCAGAGAAGGAGAAGAGAACATTCTACTACAGGGGAGACCCCATGCCCTGATAGTCACAACAGGAACTTCGGCAAACCCGTCAGTGATCCCAGTCAGTGCTAAGAGCTCCAGGGATCGCTTCCTTAAGGTATATGATCCTATAAATTTACACTGGAATCACATTATGATATATATTCTAGCAGTACAGGTGGTTTTACTTCCAACATTTATAAGATGCATTGAGGGAAATTGATCACAACTGGAGCAGACAGAATCTAGAGCAGTTGCCCATGGCAACCAATCAGCTTCTATCTTTCATTTTCAAAGCTTAAGGACCCATTTACACTAGACCATGTGCATTTTTTCACAGCACACCATTGTGGTGTGAATGGCACATATAAGTAGTGACCTGCGTTGATCCGATGTGGTAAAACGCAGGTCACTGCAGTATGTGTGAACCGACCCTACTTTGTTACTAATTTGTTACAGATTCTGTAATATATTTCCCCCATTGTATTTTTTTGAAGATTTTCAGTTCTATGAGCAGAAATTGGTACATCTGCAGCCAATTTCTACTCTGAAATAAAATGACTTTTATATTGCCTGTATAATTTGCACAAGTAAAAAAAATTCAGGCAGAAAAAAACATCTGTGTAAATGCTATCTTTACATGGCAGGATAGTAAGTGAATACCTCTTCCACCAACAGTACTGCTCAGTCTACTGGGCCTCACCCTCATGGGGCTAGGAGTCATAGTAATTTGTACTCCAGAGAAGATATCTCTATGGTGCCTCACAGCTTGGCCAGAATTACCAGTACTGTTGCTCATGAGGTCCAGTAGGCAGAAACAGTGCTGCCAATGACTTTTCTTTTAAGTAGGAATGCACCGATACCTAAACCAGTATCGGTGCTGATACCGAGTATTTAGCCAAGTACTTATACTCGCCCCAAATGCTCACGATACCAGAAACTTCCGATATCAGGAAGCCGGGTGGAGAGTGATTACACGCTGACCGGGAAGCCGGCTCCATGCTCCCTCGTCTCCATTACCTGTCAAATACAACTGTGTAGCTGTACCAGAAATATATTTGTCAACGTGCGGCCAGTGGATGAAGGTGCTTTTGCCTTTGCAACCCCTCCTTGGATATGAGTTTGAAATACTGTACCTGCCCTGGGAGAAAGAAACCATTACGTGGATTAATTTATAGTCATGAACTAAATGGTGAAATAGCACTTATTGAAAGGTAGACTGAAATAACATTATATACAACAGATAGATGAAAAAATAAACTTTTAGGGAAATAACATGGAACAAACATGTACTTTTCAGTGTACTAATACATACCTAATAAGCAAATGGGTCAGTGACTTGCTAAGTGAAGCCAGGATTAGATTACAACTACAGCCCCTGGAGCATGAACCTTCAAATATAAATTGGCAATTGTAATCCCCATATAATATATTCTTGACAGATTCCCAAATCAGTCCTCTGTTATCAAGAAATTAATCTAATGTATTCGATTATTATTGGGTAGTGATAAGGAGTACATTTTGTCCAGACAGAATGTGTGTATGACGTTGCTTCTCTTGTTCTTCTCCTAGGGAATAGCGGTATATCTGGAAGTTATTCAAAGCCATTTCCCTTCAGCTCTGGAAAAGGTGGCCAAGTTCACATTTCCTCCAGATGACAACCGCTCTGAAGCAGGGATTCCTATTATTCCTTATCCTTCTGTTTGTTTCTTCAGTCTCTTGGAGAAGATTTACTTATCACCAGTCCTATTCCATAATTCCATGTCTCAAAATGAGATTTTGTACACCCAGCTTCTCTTTGCACTGAAGGATGTAGAGCTGCGTATCCTTGAAGCCAACTACTCATGGTTCCTTCGTCATGTCTTCTCCATCTTAGAGGAACATTGGGAGTCTCTGATTACAGATATCCAGCAAGGGCGCCTTAATCCAGTATTCAAGCTACCTTTACATATCAGAAAGCAGATAGAAGACGGTCTGATTCCGGATGCAGTCCGAGCTGAAGAACTACGTGCACAGTTCAAAGAGGGTTTTTGTGGCATTGCTAAGAGAGTGTGGCCAAAACTGCAAGTGGTCATAGCTTTGGAATCTGGAAGCAGTGACTTGGATAGGCAGATACTTAAGGACACTGTATGTCAGGGGGTACCATTTTACTCCCCCATGTACTGTACAGCAGAAGGTATAAACAGTTTATATATACACCTCACTTTCAAGTATTGAATCTTTTTAATGCTCATGAGGGTAACGCATCAGATTAAGTTTAATGCTGGCCCCCACAGGTGCTTACACTTACCACACCTCTGCCCCCCCGACACTCCAGGTCAGCCAGTTGCCAGGGACCCATGCTGTCATGTAGGAGGAAGGTGAGGGAACCACATGCTCCCCATACCCAGAAGTATTGGCAATGTCACTTTGCACTTTCTGGGAAACAGAGGGGTGAGAGAGAAAAGGTACATATTAGCAGCTGCAGGCCCTCCCCCCAATCCCAAGTTCACTTTAAATACATTTGACAGTGAGTGCAAGAATTGAAAACCCAAGGTAATTTGTTTTGTGCCTTGAACAGGAAAATTGCTTGCATTTTCAATATCTTTTTCTAAAACTCCACCTAATACGACATTTATGAAAATGAGGCAAAGAACTATTAACTATTCACATATGTTCCCAACCCCAGAGGAGCTAACAGTCTAACATCCATCAGAAGAAGCTTACAGTATGATTGTTGGATTAAACTAAAGCTTCCCAAGGAACCACAGAAAGTGCATGCTTTTCATTCAGGATGCTTGTCATATGACTTCATCTCCACTATTAATACTGTTTGAGCATATATATGCTGGCCTCAAATGTTTTCACCTCTTAGATTGCCTAATTGTTAACAGAGTGGGTTTACAAAGATAAAAAGCAGGTCCTTTATAAGCAAATTGACAGGTTTATTCACAAAAGGCTGAAGAGTTTGGAGAAGGCAGGAGAAGTGAACAATCTAGGACAACATAGCTGATTTGGAAACATTCTCCAATTCAGCTCACTTTCTAGTTCAGCTATGTTGTCCTAGATTGTTCACTTCTCCTGCCTTCCCCAAACTCTTCACCATTTTGTAAATAACCCTGTTAGTTTTCTTTCCCTATGTTTTATATTTTCAAGCTTCGGTTGTCCTTTATCTTGATTGTGTTTTCTTCTCAGGTCTTTGTGGTGTGAATTTGTCACCTGTAGAAAGTATACCTCAATACGTCTTGTGTCCCAGTTCTGCATTCTTTGAGTTTATCACTGTGGATACCAGCGATCAAGACCAGCCACATACACTGTGTATTCAAGATGTCTCTAAGGGGAAACCCTACGAGCTGGTTATAACTAATAGAGATGGACTTTACAGGTGAGCAATATTTCAGTTTCTTCAAAGGAAGCCCATCACCTTAAAAAATGCCACCTTAAGCTTATGTTTGTGAGACAGGATATGGCTGGGAGCACCAGCCAGTGATTTTATTCAGGGATATTAAATAGTTGGACAATCATGAAATGTAAGCATCTTCTTAAGCATCTTCTTAAAAGTGAAGACCACATGTCTCATTTTAGGCCTGCCTGTTATTATAGCATTATTTTTTTGGAGGTAAACAGTATGCCTAGCTGTTATTTGTACTATGGCAAGAGGGGTGAATAAGGAGTTCTTTTGGTTGCTGGTCACTAGTTTCCGCACATCAATGTGGTATACAACGTCCACAATGTGGTATAATGCTGCGTAAAAAGGGCAGCTTTATGTAAATATTAACCCTAAAGACAAGCCATCAAAACAAAACCTCACAAATGTAACATATAAAGTATATAAATCATTAGGAAACCAAAAGAAATAAATAGTCCCAGGAAGGATTGTTAAGTCTATAGAGCTGTGAGCACAGGGGGTCCCAAAGGATATTTAGTCCACCTTCAATGAACAGTATACCAAAAGTATCTCTTCCTAAATATTCCCCACACAGAATTTTTAGCTGTGAGTCCACCCTTTTATAGTCGGGGAGATTAGTTATACATTCCTTAAGATCATTAGCTATTGTTACTGATCAGGGGAAAAAACTAAGCAGTGCAATAGATTGTTACTAATTTTTGCCACAAACCCTCAAACTTATTGGCCATAGTAGGATCCCAGTCTGCTTATATTCTCCTTGTAAATGTTGTATAAAATCACCTCCAACAGTTGCTACCATAGGTACTAGAGGGAAATGTACAAAATGACTTCTCAATGATCTGTCAAACGATGAATTTTCCATCACACCAATGCAGTCATTGCATATCTTTATATTTATCACTATAATCTCATCAACCTCACCTCCATAGCATCTGTGTATCACCGAGCATCCACATCTCTAGTCTATGGCACATAGTGAAATCCCCAGTGTCCTTCCAATACATCCACCTCCTCAAATCCACACTCGCCACTGTTTAATCACTGAGTAATAGAAGGTACTGTATTTGTAACAAAACTATATCTTGCAATTCAACTTTTACTCTGCATTTGGTATTTTGCTACTTAATTTGTATTTATTGTAAAAGTGGACTTGCTATAGATAATTTGTGCAATAGGCAAACGAGATATAAGTTAACATTGTCTGTACTTTATTATTTTGCACATATTTAGGTGACAAAATAAAAGAAAAAAGTACTCCAAGAGAATAGAAAGTCAAGTATGGAGCTTGTCCTTGTAAGACAGCATGACCGCCCGTTGCTCTGTTATCCTTACTGGGTATGGACTCCCCATGCTGAGACACTGCAGTTTGCAGCAAATTGTGATATTACAAAAAGTTTTATGTTAAGAACAGGTTATCTTAGAGGGGGTAAAGGGAGGGAAACATAGAGGAAATGTTTCATACTGACATGGGAATTTATTTGTGAAGATGCAAAAAGCTTTACTAAGAAAAAGAGCAAAACAGAACATCTAATCTTGTTCAATATTATAAAAGACGACATACAAAGAGATCCGACAACATTTAGAGGAACACCTTTATAGACCTAATGGTCCTAGGTCATTTACATATGATGACATACTCCAGGGTTGTCATAAGCAGAGAAAATGATGTGTGTTGTCAAAGAAAGCCACAAGTGAGGTGTTCATTTATATATGCAGTATTGTTGATTTTTGTTTCTGATGTTTGCATTAAAAGCTAAACTCCTGTCTAATATTTGTTTCCTGTATTTTAGCAAATCCTCCCCTGTGTGTTTTAACTGATTTACTCTCATTTCCCTGCAAACATGCAAGACAGACCATGGCTGTACGGTCTCACAAGTGCTGCATGCGGGTCTCGCCATTGCTGTTCGCTCTCACCAGGGCTGTGAGCTGGTGGATGCGGTCTCACTAGAGCTGCGGGCGGGGGGCAGTCTCACCAGGGCTGTGTGCGGATCTCACCAGGGCTGTGTGCGGATCTCACCAGGGCTGTGTGCGGATCTCACCATGGCTGTGTGCGGATCTCACTAGGGCTGCGTCCGGGTCTCACCATGGCTGTGTGGTCTCACCAGGGCTGTCTGCGGGTGCGTGCGGTCTCAACAGGGCTGCATATTGGCGGATGCGGTCTCATTAGGGAAGTGCGGTCTCACCAGAACTGCGTGCGGAAGGGTGCGGTCACACCAAGGCTGTGTGGTCACACCAGGGCTGTGTTTGGGTCTCACCCGGGCTGTGCTGGCAGGTGCGGTCTCACTAGGGCTGTGCCAGGTCTCTCCAGTGCTATGTAAGGTCTCACCATGGCTCTGCGGACAGATGTAGGTGGCGGGTCTCACGATGGCTGTTTGGGCGGGCGCGGGCAGTGGGAAGGACGCGGAGATGTTCGGCAGGACCGGCGCTGTAAACAGCCGCTGCGAAGTTCACACAAGGCTGCCGGGAGGTCCCCAGCAAGTGCGGGACCTTACGGCAGCCGAATCTATTTAAAAATGTAAAGTGCCTGTATCGGTGCTTAGTAGGGATGCACCGATACCACTTTTTTAAGACCAAGTACTCGCAGATACCAATTACCGATACTTTTTCTTAAAGGGACAGGTCACATTTTTTCTAAAGCAATACAAACTAATGCTTTAAGGTCACTTTCTTAATATTATGATTCATGAGATGACGAGGGAGCATGATGCCAGCTTCCCGGCCAATCAGAATGCTGGGCGCTGTGTCATTACACGGCGCCCGGCTTCCGGATTTGCTAGCTTCCTGGCCAATCGGGAAGCCAGGCAGCGCGTCATTGCACGCTACCCGGCTTCCTGATTGGCCGGGAAGTCGGCTCCATGCTCTCTCATCACAAGTGACGAGAGAGCATGGAGCCGTTTCCTGGCCAATCAGGAAACCGGGCAGCGTGTAATGATGCGCTGCCCGGCTTCCTGATACAGGAAGTACTCATGCTAGGTATCGAAGCATTTGGGCGAGTACGAGTACTCACCCAAATACTTGGTATCGGCACCGATACTAGTATCGGTATCGGTGCATCCCTAGTGCTTAGTATGAGGGCTTGTGAGTACTTGTGAAAATGTCCAGTATCGGCATTGGTGCATCCCTACACACAAGGGTAGCTCCATAGGATCCTGCAAGGGAAAGGAGTCACCCTAAACAGGATATCAGGGCCAGTGCTCAGGAGATGATTCTGCAGGAAACTAAAACTTTTAAACATCAAGAATCAACATCCATTGTAAGTGATTTAATCAGCATTTGAAATGGCATAAAACATTTTGACTTTAAGAATTATAGTCTTCAAAATGGTTTAATAAGGTTAAAGTTAGTAAGGATCTATGTGTCTAGAAAAATGTTTATGCTACCATAAAGATAAATGAGATCCTGTATGTTTCAGGTACCGTCTTGGGGACATTGTACAAGTCACTGGCTTCCATAATCGCAGTCCCATACTGGAACTCCTTTACAGGTGTGTAATACTGCAATCATCTTTTCTGTTGTCATTAAGGATTAAGCATGGACCCTTTTTTTTCTATTCACATTATTATTATTATGATACAGGATTTATATAGCGCCAACAGTTTGCGCAGTGCTTTAGAAAATAAGGCGGACATTACAATCACAATACAATTCAATATACAAGATGGTAAGGAGGGCCCGGCCCGTGAGGGTTTACAATCTAAAAGGGGAGGGGCAAGTGATACATGAGGAGGTTGCTGTGTGGGAAGGAATTGTTAATTCACATTATTAATCTGCCAATTATGTATCGTTACATCCCTGAATCATCTGAAAATCATTATTTTACAGGAAAAGCCAGACCCTGAGTGTCCGTGGAGAGCGCATTTCAGAATCTAGTTTCTATAAATCTCTTCTCCAAACTGTAGGCTTGTGGCCTGGAGCCTCCCTTCTCAACTACTGCTGTGCAGAGAGTGGAATTATGGGTAGGTAGTAAGTTTTAACTTTGTTGGGGTATTAAAGAAGATACCTGTTATTTGATGGTTGACTTTGACATTTGTGCAGGTACTTTGCAGTGATATAGTGATGCACCCGCACTCTTATGAAGGGTCATTGGAAAGCTCCCCATTTACAGGAATTGGGCCTCTATTTAAGATGGCCATTCTTAACACTAGCATATTGCTTCCCTCATCTTCCATGAATAAGCAAAGTAGACATTATACAGATCTGTATGCTAATCAGTGTTGCTGAGTTTGTTTGAGTTCTGACAAAGTTAGTAAGTCCTGGTGGATGGGGAATAGTTTTGCCCCGAAAGCTGCTTTATGTGATTATACTATGAACCATTAACCCTTTCGCTGTCAGTTTTTTCCCCCCGCACATGTTAAAATGCACAGCCAGCTTCTTCCAGTGAAGCATAATATCTTTGCATGCATTAGGCCCTGTTCACACTGAGGCGTTTTTGAGCAGTAGAAAATGAGCTTCAAAACTCCCAACACAAGAAACGCCAAGATTTTCAATAGCCCCTGTTCACACCTGAGCAGCAAAATGTTAAATGCAGAAAAAAGCACACAAGCTTCTTTTGGCAGTTTGCAGCTCGTTTTTTCACCATAGATTTCAATGGAAACACCAGGAAACACGCAGCAGAAGCGTTTTACACATTTTTGCACCCGATATTGCACATTTGTACATGCATTTGACCATTGGCGGCGGTGTCTCTCAAACTGCCAGTGAAAACGCCCATCTTCATGTGTGCACGCTTAACAGGTGCAAGAATGTGTAAAATGCGCATGAACAAGCAAAAAAAGCTAGCAGAAACCGTGCATACAAATGCGCAAAAATGATGACGCCTTAGTGTGAACGTGGCCCAAAAAAGAAGGATCCCCAACAAAGTGTTGGTAGTCACTCCAGGGGTCAAATATTCAGTCCAGGGGTCAAATATTCAGTAAGTCTCAACAAACAAAGTTGGGGTGAGGGTTGGATATTAAAATAAGTCAAGTCGTGCAGAACCCAGATAACCTCTCTCCAATATTCCATAATACAGTAAACTGCCCATTATCCGACATTCAAGCAACCAGAACTCTCAAGCAACCAGAAAAAAAAATGATATATATATTCCTCATTTTTTATTGCCAGCTGCTTGATTGACATGTGCACACTAACAATTTTGTTAGCTACTACATTTATTTAGTTGCTAACAAAATTCTCTGTTTATATCTTGCTGCGGCTGACGGCTAGATTCCTCAGCTGGCAGGTGAATGTAAACAATGGGCAGTGGGTGTGTGCAATAGCCAGCCTGCTATTGGCTATGGCAATTTGAAATAGCCAATAGCAGAATCTAGCCAGCAGATAAATGGGGCGGATGGGGGGTTCTTGTTTGAGAGTTATTAGTAACTCTCAAGCAACCAGAACAGAAACTACAGATATCCGGCATTTACCAGTCCCCATGGGTGCCGGATAACTGGGAGTTTACTGTATTAGGAGTCCAGAACACATGAAAAAAGTCTGCTGGTTCCATTGGATAATGCCAACGATGTAAAAAAGACTCTGTGTAACAACTTAAATTGGATAAGACAGTCTCTGGCCAAGAGCAAACAACTGAAAGGCAAGTCCCAGCAATCCACCCAGTACAGACAAGCTGATTAGTAAATGGACAAATTGGAGCTATTGGTATCCATTGGTAACCACTGGAGGGAAGCCTTACTTCATGTGAGCAGCCTTACCAAAGCCAGTGAGCTCGTTGAAAGCTTATGTTCTCCTCAATTCTTTGAACAAGTAAATGTTGAACTCCCAGCACCTCTTGTACATATCCTTTTTTAAGGTTTTCTTGATAGGGCATCCGTCACCCCCTGATTTGCTGCATCTTCTTGGTATGGTGGAGCATGTGACTTCCTTCCAGGCTCAGGCCTGAACTGCCAATCACCATGCTTAAACACTGTCACGTGGGAGAGGAGAAGGTCAATAACTGTGTAAGATCTGACACAGACCAAAACAGAACTTACCCTGGGATAAAACGTCACTAAACTGCACTCCTGCAGGCAAATTGAGCGGACAGCTTGGGACAGGTAAGTGTACGAGGGTGCAGAGAGATTATGTTTACATTTTCTACACTGAACCTCATGCATTGCTACACTGAATAATTATTTTCAGGTTTAAAACGGTGCTGGTTCACAAACTACATGCCTCTGCTTTGTGTAGGCAATGGTTTTACTTCACTCTTTGCTCTTTCACAGCCAGTTTATGTTGGGACTACTAGGGTAGGTTAGGCTTATGTAAACTCATCATACATTATCTAATTGTTTACATTCAATAAAGAATGAAATATAAACGTCTTCTTATAGATTGTAAAGCAAAATTATGTCTTTTCTTTTCACAGGTCCATTCTCTGGGGGCTCTGACCCTCACTACCAGGTGTTTGTTGCGCTAAAAGGGGTAAGAGACCTTTCGGAGGAGCAGAGATATAAGGTGAGCACGAGTCAGTGATGGCTCTCGTATATTATAATTTGCCTTTACACTTATTCATAAATGCTTGGGCACAAGCTTAAACGGTTACCAGGTTCAGAATTCCTAGCTTGTCATCATGTTGTGTGTACTGTGACGTTAGTAGTGTGTCTTCTGTTATAAGTAGAGTTAACCAGGTTTTTCACATGTTGATTTTTGTCAGTTAAAGCTCAGCCAAACCTTTTGTTTGAATCCATTAAATACATTCCAGATGCATCAAAATAAAAGGTGTGCAATGTCCTACAGTTAATTTTCATTAAAAAGCAACCACAGCCTGAGTGGAAAAGCCTGTCCCCTGCCAGAAACTGCAGATTGGACCCTTGCTTTCAGTGTGGAAGCTGTGATCTTTTTGCAGAGGTCTGACAAGCCCCCTTCTGAGTCAAAGCCAGAGCTTTCCAATCAGTTGTCTGTGTGAGCTTTGCTGATTGCAGAGCTATAGGTGTAATTCAGTAGTGGCTGTCAGCCCTCTGTGGAGAGACCGCTGCTTACACATAGAGAGCAAGGGTCTCACTCTGCAGACTTTTCTGCTCAGGGTGTGGCTAATCTTTAAATAAAACAAAGTGTAAGTGTACTTTGCACACCTTTTGTTTGCATTTAGATGTTGTCACAGCGTAAAGATTGGAAGTACTGGGCTTCCAGCTCTGACCACAGCCCCTGCAGATAGCCTCAGGGAGGCGCTGCAGAGGCCGAAGAGCGAAAGGAAGGAGCTGCAGGGGCCCAAAAGGAGGAGGAAAGCTGCTGGGGCTGAAATGCCTTCAGAATGAGGAAGCCACAGATGTCACAATCTGGCGGAGATTGCGGGTGGCGATAACACTGAAGAACTATACAATTTACAAGTGGTTTGACACTACACATGTCTTCGTGTACAGGATCGGTACACGATCTCCCTCCGATCTCCTTCCGTCCCCGAATGCAGGAAGTGATGTATTTTACATCACTTCCGCATTCTGCTGTCACTCTTTGGCTACAGAAGCTGGGGAGAAGCTGGTGAAGCAGATCTCTGCTTCATCAGCTTCTCTGGGGGTCCCTAGGTGACATTAGGGGTCCTGGAGACCCCTGGTGTCTCCATAAAGAGGATCTGTCCTATAAATTGGCTATCACATAGGTGGCTTCTTAGCAATAGCAATATTGATAGCAATAAAGTTGTGTTAAAAAAAAAGTAATAAAAAAATTAAAGAAGCATAAAAAAGCTACAAGTCCCCGCTCCCCACATACACATGCAAACATGCGCCGGGTGCTACCTGCAAAAACATCGATTGTGCCGCACATGTTACATATCACCGCGAACGTCGGAGTGAGAGCAATAATTTTAGGGCCATTAGTCACTGATAACACTAAACTGATGAGCATTTAAAGCGTCGCCTATGGCCAATTTTTGGCGTGGTCGTTTTGTGCAATTTTGCGGGCGCGTGCAATTTTAAGGCTTGCCGTGTTTGGTATCTAATTTACCCGACGTGACCCCGTCTTTTATATTTTACCAAAAAATATGGGTAAGAATGAATGTTTTATAAGATAACATAGGGAAAACATTTTTTTTCCGAAATTTATGGTACTTTTTTCATTATATAGTAGAAGAATAAAAACCCCAGTAGTGATTACCTCCAAACCCCAGTAGGTATATACCTCCAAAAGAAAGCTCTATCTGTCCCTTAAAAATGTTACCATAAATTGCAAGGCTTTTTGACTGACTAGTGAGACGCCCTAACATTTTTCAAGCCTTGATAATCCTATACCTTGTACTAGATACCAGGTACACTTTTGAAATATGCTGAGATTTATCCTCAACAATAGAATTATATTTACTGTGAACAAGAGCAGACATTTGCTGCCATTAGATAATGTGTAGATATTGGCGTTGTGTAATGCATCATTATTACAGTGTTATATGGGCATTCACTGTATATAACACTCAAGAGCAGCAATTAAGCTATTATGATATAGGTCTGTTGTGCCTTTTATCGTCTTTTGTTGGGCGTTGTGATGGGATTCTTCTTATCTGGCCAAGTATATGAATGTTTTTAATATGGAAGTATAGGAATGATAGAGCACTTACATGGGGAAAAGCAATGGTGTCATTGGAAAGTAAGAAAATGTAAAGAAAAGACAAACAAAAAGGAGAAATGGAGGTAGAGGTGTGTATAGGGCAGTGTAATAAACTAAATAAAGGGGGCTCGAGTGTGCCCCCTCGTACGTCTATAGGGCCACTCAATCGTTTTGTTTTTGTGAATTTGCTCTTAGTACATTGCACCCTCAGTCTACCTGAAGCAAGCTGTACTGCTTCCAACATCAGTAGCTTACTCTGGGAAACAAGAGTTTTTGGTAAACAGCTGCAGTCCTGTTTGCTGAAGGAGTCCTCCACTCCTAATTGCCTAAAGCGAGATTACTTTTGCCAGCCTATGCGCCGCTGTCTGAATAACCCTGGCATTGAGTACTGGGAACCACTGTACCCCGCTCCCATGTGGCTGGCACTGAGATGAGGCTGACACTTTAGGAACTTGTTTTTTCTCCCTGGTGCCCAACAGGGGATGGGCCACACACAGAGAGCCAACAGAGGGGGGTAGGATAGGATTCTTGTATAACCCCTGATAGTGTTTTCTTCTAAGAAAATAATAGGCTCCCAAATAAACCTGGAATGGTGTAAGATAATATTAAATTATGTTTCCAGGCAAATATGTATCACAAGCGCATGTGTTTTGAGAAAGACCTTGTGATTATCTGATCATGAATAGATAGATACGCAACAAGGTCATACATAGAATGGAAAACAGCTAAAAAATTTACCCTTCTAGAGATACATTTTTCTGCTCATTTTGGACTGCTGTGAGGATCCCATTATGTGAAATATATAATTATTGGAACAAGAATTGTCGACTCCAAAATGCTTGCTTTTAAGACTTATCTTTTGTCTGTACCTGTAGCACTTCTCTTCCAGGGATCTAATTTTCAAATGTGCCAGGTTGGGTGCTAAAGATAAGAGTTGTTACTTTGTGTAGTAATTGTCAAAGTGTGCTACTGGTATGTAAAGCAGCTTCTGTGCATAATTACACCACTAGATGACAGTGTAAGCATAACCTGGAGAAATAATGGACAATGTCTGCAATGATGGAAGATTTTCAGAGCCTTTGGTGTCTAAAGGTGTCCATACACCTTACAACCATCGCGCGACTTTCGTTGTGCGATGGTTGTAAGGTGATTAAAATTTCGTACCACCTGCCCATCTTGCACAGGCAGATCGTACTTGCGATCATCGCAAGTCCTTCCCGCTGAGGGGAGGGCTTACAGATGATTGCGATGGTGAGCGGGCAGTGTGCGCCTACGCTTTCGTCTTGCGATCGCGCTACCAACCCGCCCAAAATTGCACGACTTTCGGCGGGTTATCTAGGGTGCTCGTAAGACGACGAAAGTCGTACGACCTTACAGTATATGTGGTCTCACGCTGCCCATACACCTTACGAATATCGTACGATCGCGGGATCACCCGCGATTATCGCACGATAATCGTCAGGTGTATGGGCAGCTTTAGAAGGACGGTTGGAGATAATAGTTAACACCGCAGTCCTTACTTATAAAGTACATTTATAGAAAGAAGGTAGAGGAGTGTGCTGGAGTGGGGCATGACACCACACCTTTTACCTTTTTGCATTTACTTTACTAGAGTACTGAAATACAAAGAGAGGAATTTTAAGGGGTATTTCCAGTTTTGCAGCTAAATTAGGATAACACACTTCCTTATGTTCCTTTTTTATGTTCCAATTTGCATTGCATAACTTAAAACATATTTAAAAATTGCTGCTTACATTTTAAGTTCTTTTTACTTGCTTAGAAAATCCTACCTAGCTTCTCTCCTATGTAATATTAAGGAGTGGGCTTTGGGAAGTAATGTTTAAGCTAATTCACCGTTGGTACTCTGCTGGTAGATTTTATTATTAGCTGTAAACTAGATTTGAACATTGTCTTAACAAGGCGTTATGAGAGAAAGCTCAGTCTGTCCCTCAATTTTCACAGAGTGGCCTGGAATATGCACAAAGGCCTTCACCAAAGAAACAGTTAAAAGCAATAGTTTAAAAAAATACATATTTTCTGTTATGCTGTGTAAATGGAAACACATAAACATATAGTGGGGTTTTCTCAAATTTGACTGCAGAAGTGGAAATGCACTTTAGAACTAAACATTAGCTTCTAGTAATCCTCTGTCTAGTAGATTTTAGACTGGAAAGGGGAGGGGCAGTATTCTGAGCCGGTCAGGTTCTGCTACCTGCTCATGATGCTGACAAGGAAAAATACTAACAGGATAAGAGAGCAGAGTGAAGTCAGAATTGCCCCTAGGCCACATAAGCTGTAGCTTAGGGCCCCATTGCTGCTGAAAGCGATACAGGTTAAAGTGTTCTGGATCCCCGCAGGATCCAGAATACACTGCAGAGTGGCAGCAGGTTCTAGCACCGGGTACAGCTTCAACAGGCATTTTAGGGTGGCATTTTGAATCAATGGCTCCCCTGATGCACAGCAATTACGGACCTCTAGTTAGCATGGGTTTCCAAGAAGGGAAAATATCACCTCACTTCTCAGCCGGTGCCTATATTGAGAAGACATCATTATGTGGGGAGGGACTGCATCCTACAAGCATCCCTTACTTACCTGCCTACTAAGTCCTGACAGTCCCTTGCAGACAGACAGTGCCCTCCAGCCTCCTGCAAGTATCCCCATGGAATGCTGTTCAGTGCTCCACAGTCCACCACGGACAGTGCCCCGCCCTCTGTGAAATACAAGTATATTAGACATGTGCGATTCGTTTCGTTACGAATCGAAATTCGTACGAATTTTCCTGAAATTCGGAAGCTTCCGAAATCCGAATTGCAGTTTCCAAATTATATCCGAAACACGAAATTCCGTTAACGAATTTCGGGTCCCAATTTCTTTGAAACGGGAACTAATATTACCCCTGTAAATGAGGTTGAACAACATGA